ACAGGTGTTTGTCTTGGTCTGTATATGTGTCTGTGTGTGCATGTATAGGTGTGTCTTGGTCTGTATATGTGTCTGTGTGTGTGCATGTGTAGATGTTGGTCTGTATGTGTCTGTGTGCGTGTATGTGTTTGTTATGGTCTGTATATGTGTCTGTGTGCGTGTATAGGTGTGTGTCTTGGTCTGTATATGTGTCTGTGTGTATGTACAGGTGTTTGTCTTGGTCTGTATACGTGTCTGTGTGTGTGCATGTACAGGTGTTTGCCTTGGTCTGTATATGTGTCTGTGTATGTACAGGTGTTTGCCTTGGTCTGTATATGTCTGTATATATTGTGGGGGAAGTGGTAGTGGTGTAGCGGGGTTAGCGCGCTGCGTTACGAACCCGACAACCCGCGTTCGATTCCCGCTCACGGCCAACACACCGGTGACGATTATCTGAAACGGTCTTGGGCCTCTCCTAGGTCGACTCAGCCTCAAATGAGTACCTGGTGCGGTGTGTGTAAACGTTGCCACTGAGGAGACAAAGGCGGCCGGGCGTGGTGCTGGCCACCCACTCCGCTAGCGCAGCACTTGCCCCAACGGTTAAGGCGATAGGGCAGATACTTATCTTGAATTTCCTGTATGTACATAGACACATACGACATATAAAGAATGGCAGTGAAAAGATCTACACACAGAGACATGTATACAAAGACAGACATACAGACACATTACACATGCACTATTATACATATATTATTAGACATGTATTCACAAAACAGACACATAGCGCTACACATATAGATACATGCCCAAATGTATACATAGACATGTTTCCAGACAAGATACACAGACGTAGGCATGTACACACACATATATACACACACTGAGACGTATATTAACACTGCACAGCGGGATTAGAGAAATTCGGATATTATAATCTTATTATAATCTTGTATATAACAATTATATACATACACACATTCAGTATATTCTGTATACTGTATTTTGTATACACTAAGTTGTATATACTACATAATCCAGGACATGCGCACACAATACATATATATTATGGATATATACGCAGTCATATCAATTTACACACAAGGACGCACACATGTATATGGACAAACATATACGCATACAGACGTCGATATACATATACAAAAACAAACTCATGCACACGCAGAGTCATGCAAATTCCGTACATAAATACACACAAATGTACATAGAGCGGTATACTACACATGGAAAATATACACACAGTGCCATGGATAGAAACACATTCGCACACACGGTAAGGCATATACATATTGGTCATAGGTACATATATAGAGATATAACACAGTGACATGGCCTAGCGGTAGCGCGTTCCTTGCTTGTTGCAAGGGATTCCCGGTTGGGTTCCACGAGGCCGCCCCGGTTATTACCGTGGAGTGTATTAAAAGTCGCTACGCACGGTTTCCTTCACAGTAGACTTTAAATATACCCTGATGACATTCGAAACGCGTTAGGCGCATTGTGTGCCGACGCCATGGTACAAATGTCGCCAAAAATTCTAAAGATTTAAGCGGAAATAATCCACTTGGGATATCACGCAACAGCAGCAGCAATCAACCCACCCTCCTACTGGCAAGACGAATACCCACTTGCAGGTCGCATAGGGACAGCTGCCACTAGGGGTGCCCTTCGAATTGTTTCAGACATCACAATATGCATTTTCAGTGGAAGAATCTGATGAGCTATTAAGCTCTTGGTCACAGATATCCGGTAGCCAGTTTGAGAGATGTCACGTGACGCACTTTTTATAAATTTAACCAATCGTCGTCAACATGCAAATATGATCATGTATTGTTATATACACACACACACAGACATTAACACAAACAATGCATATATATGTAGCCGATATTCTATATACATAAAGGCGGTTTCTCCCGTGTAGCGAGCGCTGCGTAGACTCTGGGGAGGTGTTGCGTCTGCGAACACCAATGAAGGCCGACAACGCATGCGGGGATCCTTTGGCCAGCACCACGCTCGACCGCCTTTGTCTCGCCAGTGCTGTCGGTTTTGCACATCGCGCCAGGCACTGTCCTCGTTTACGGCGGATTCAACCTAGGTTTAGAACAACCAGGATGTGCTCATATATATGTCACTCGCCACGGATGTGAACCGTGGTCCGAAATTGAACCTGGGTTAAAAAAAAAAACCCGGGTCCTTAGGGCAGTGGGCATTAACCACCGCTTTCCCATCAGCACCACAATACACGCGCAGTATTTTCACGCAAATGAGCGGCACGTACACACAGGTAGGCACACGGATCGCTGCGATAACGGGGATATGTTGAAGTTGTTTGACCGCGTAAGCGTGTGTCATTGATTAGCGGAGCGGAGGCGCAGTGGTTAGCGCGCTGCGCTACAAACCCGGCTGACGATGAGCACCAGCGACGATTATCTGAACCGGTCCTGGGCCTGCCCCCCTAGGTCGACTCAGCCTCAAATTAGTACCTGGTGCGATGTGTAAGCATCCCTACGGGGGGAGACAAAGGCGGTCGGGTGTGGTTCTGGCCATCCACCGCCCTTGTGTACCGTTCCGGCCTTCATAGGTGGCCTGCTTGTTTCAGTAGATACACACATAGAGTACTTACACAGATGATACACACTTAAACGTAGATAGACATTGAGTACTGACACGTAAATACACACAAACACGCAGAGCATCGCCATCAGCATAGGTACATGGGTATTTAAAAAATAATGGCAATATTGCCTTTATTTACGTGATTACAATTAATAAGATACTGATTTATAGTCTGCACACTATTTGGCATCATTCCGTGAGAAAGTTTATGTCCGCTCTATGTGTAACATTGAACACCCACTATATACAACGCGGATATCACAACAGTGTATGGATACGCGCGGTGACGAAGCATTGTTAAAGCAACACTGTGCCCCGCGTCGTCATTATTGCCGCAGTAACGCACATGGAAAGAAAAACTGACCATTGAATCAATTCCCAACAACGTTCGAACGTACAGCATTATAAATCAACGCGTCTTTGGAGTGTGCAATGGAAGTGTCATTTCAACACTTCGAGCGTGCGGGCGACACGATATGAATTCTTCACCAACACACGCGCATCTCCATAGGCTAATAAGGCACGCGGTCTTACACGTGGTACACGTGAAGGGTGAACGGAACACCTTGATATTTCAACGCAATACGTCGTTTAAAGCTGTTGTTTTCGTAATGTAAACTCTCTTGCGTGTTAAAATAATGAATCCCGCACAATATAACAATTTATAAGTGCTAATTTGATTGTTAAAACTTCTAATACACGTTTCACATTTACAACGTATGCAGTATATAATACACGTGTTATACGTGAATAAACACAACTAGATTATATATACACACACATGTACATGTTCTCATCCTGCAAAAGTACCATGAAATGATCATATACGGTTAACGTAGCAGAATACATCATGGGTTTTTACAACATTTAAATCATAGCCCTCATAAAATCCACATTCTCCCGTCAATTAATAAAAAAAAAATACGTATCAATGTGAAAAACACGCGAGAGAGAAGGGGACTGTATATGTATAGTCATATATACTGTATATCAATCATATACTGTAAGGATAGTATAGTTTACATACATAGACGACAGAATATGAATTCATGTTGTTAATTTCATACACGTGTCCGTTTACAAAAAATACTCTACAATCTGTACACACACACATATATAAAATATATAGACGCTATTGGCGTCGATTATTTAACTTGTGCCCTGGCACCAGAGGGTCTTTCTCCGACACTGAACGCGACGATGAACCGATTCAAAGGGGCTCTTCTCAACTCGAGACACAGGAACCCTGTTCGCAATTAGTCTCGGCGCCCGCTGAGATTGCTTTAGGTCACGAATTAAATATAATAATAATAACCATACAGCCCGTTGTCCGCCTTATATTTGAAGATTACCCGCAGTTGATCATTCGCAAAAAAAACGTGCCTCCTTCAATAAAATACGTTGATTTGATATGTATACTCTTTAACGTGTCAACGTTTTTAAAACATCGAATTACGAATTTCCCTAGTTAAATAGTACTATAATAATTTCTATAAGCTGTGCTCTATAGTGTGAATTGCTAAGGTATTTCGAAACGAATTATTGTAAATTACTCATGGGGAATATATAGTACAGTACCAAAGATATAGTTTACACACAGTATATACTTACATTATAACTTACATTCAGTACCATAGATACACGCAGCGCATACACACATACTCTACATATACAATTACAAATATATGGAATACCATACACTATAACAGTACGTACAAAACACAGTAACCACAACGTATAGAAACACAGTACCATAACGTTTATTAACACAGTACCACAACGTATATTAACAGAATACCAAAACTTATATTAACACAGGACCACACAGTACCATACACACCGTGCAATGATTAGCCTGTACATACTTCCAGGCACATACTAGCCGCCTTCACCACACGCACACACGATGGTGACATTGCCTTGGAGTATTACAATCGAGTCAGTCACAGCCTGAGCAATCGATAGCCAGGAGTCGGTGATATTATTTGAGTGCAGCAGTCAGGGACGAAGTGAATCCTGTTGGGGGTTTCACTGAACACACGCGGGAGACAGGGCCATGTGGCTAGCTGGCTAAGTGACTCAAATGTCTGGCTCGTGTGTGGCTTAGTCACTCGCAGGTGGCTTGGTTGCAGCTAGCTGACTCTACTGGCGCTCTGACAAGAGTTGGGATGGCTTGGCCGACTGGCTAAGTGGCTGGCTTGGCTGTCTGGGTGGCAGACGATGGGGGTAGTCGTGTTATCTTACTCAGCAGTGCGTGGGTCCGCTGACGTTGGGTCGCTTGATTGGCCTTTAACAGCCTCATTCTCTTTAGCCTCCACAAGACCCCCCCCACCACCCCCGCCGGCTGGCATAACCTCCCTCTTCAGCCCGTCTCCCCTCCCTCCCTTCCTTCCCTCTTTCCTGCTCCTCCCCAACCCCCATGCTAACCACTTGAAGGACCGTTCTCTGGCACAACATTAAGGCGGGCCCCCGGTGCCTTGTGTGTGCGTGTGTGCTGCAGTCCTGCCATCCGCGCGCGGTGATAAGTGGCCAGGTTACACGGAGTGCCGACTTAAACGCATCAAACGCACACGGATAAACACGCGCGCGCACGTTCATGCACAGGTCGTGTACGCACATCCACACGCAGAGGAACACACGCACAGCGGCACGCATCAACAACACTCCGAAAGGGGGTCGTCGAGAGAATTCCGCTGGCGTGCAAGGGGTCTGTCTTCTCAAGCCGTCTCGCCAATCACTCGGCAAGTTGCAGCCGCGTGCGAATTTTCGTCCATTAATCGGTATTCGTTGCTTTTGGGGGGGGTAAACAAGTTTAAGCTGTCGCCGCTGTCGGTGGCCGCACACGGTCGCTGCTGGTAGAGCGGTGATGGGTGTTTGATCATCCTGCTCCTGATGGTTATTCATGTTCGATGGTGGCGTTCATGCCGACTATGGTGGTGGTGTCAGCGCATTTGTCGCTGGAGGTTTTTGGAGGTGATGATGGTGGTGGTGGTGGTGGCGCGTCGGTGTTTGTTATTATTGATGGTGCCGACATTGGTGAAGTTGCTTCTGATTGCGTTGATGCCGTTGTTCTTGGTGGTGATGGTGTCGGTGGTGTTGCTGATGGTGGCGACGTTGGTGCTTCTTTCGTATGGCTGCTGGTGTGGATGGCAGAGCAAACACTGTCGTGTCACATACAGGTTGTGAGGCCAGACCACCGGAGTGAATCGCTGTTTGTGGATCGGGGCATTGCGTCGTTAACACGCTGTACGGGCCCGTTCTGGACGACCACAGTCGCACTCCGTCCGGAGAGTTTTTCATTTTCCATTTGTGCATCAGGTATCCGCACCCGCCGGTGTTGTGCAAGTGCTGTCACTACTATCTGACGGTGATGGCGCTGATTGTGTTGCTCCTCCTGCTGCTGCTGCTGCTGCTGTTGGTGGTGGTGCTGACGACGTCAATGCTGGGTGTGATGGTGTTCACGTTGTTTCCGATCGTTCTCGTGATGGACAAGTTACATACCTGTCAACCCCTTGTCAGTGCCTACCTTATTACAGACCTTATCGGTCACCACGTGCTCTTATAAATATCAACGTTCATCCGACATCACAAGGGAGAAACACAAAAAAAGACAAAACATATATATTTTTTAAACTCAATTTCCCTATACAAGAATACTGGTAAACCGTATGGGGTTGACAGGTATGAAATCAGTGCGAGTGGCGTCGAAGCCTCTTGCCGCTAGCTTTGGCGGTGGTGTTGATGGTGTTGGTGAGATGGTGGGTGGGTGAAAGCGTGTGGTCTTTGTGCGAGTACCCGTGCTGCTAGGCGGATGGCTCTCGGCGCCGGTGAAGGCGAGTGTCCAGGGCTGGCGATGTTACTGCTTGCCGGTGCTGTTGGTGCCATTAACGCTGCCGAGATGGTCGATGTTGCAGTTAACATCCTGTTGGCGTTAGTGACCGACAATGCCACGGGCGGCAACGTTTCCCATGTCCGAGGTGTCAGCAAGCTAAAGCTTCGGCACCAATGCCGCTGCTGTTGCAAGTGTCAGCGCTTTCCGCTGCTGCTGCTGCTGTTGACGCTGCTGCTGTTGTTAATACTACTGGTTGGTCGCATTGTTTTAATAGCTGACGCTGTTGCTGCTTGCTAGTTATTGTGAGTGACGTTCATGCTGGCGTTAGTTGCCGATGGCGGGTGACGAGACGAGGATGTGACGGTGGGTGCCGGCGCATCGCTCGCTACCGCTTCCGATGGCAGCGGTTCTGCTGCTGCTTAGTGGTAGTGGTGGACCTATTGTATTTAATCCCTGCTGCCCATGCTGTTGTGACTGCTGCTGTTGCTGGCTGCGTTGTATTTAATTCATCTTTGCTGGTGGTGCTGTTCCCGTTGTCTGCTGATGCTGCTGTTGCTGCTGCTGCTGTGGCTGCTGTTCCCGTTGTGTGCTGCCGCTTCTGCTGATGCTGCTGTGGCTGCTGTCCCCGTTGTGTGCTGCTGCTGCTGCTGCGGCTGATGCTGCTGTGGCTGCTGTCGGTGTTCCCGCTGCGTGCTGCTGATGCTGCTGTGGCTGCTGTTCCCGTTGTCTGCTGATGCTGATGTTGCTGCTGCTGTGGCTGCTGTCCCCGTTGTGTGCTGCTGCTGCTCTGGCTGCTGTTCCCGTTGCGTGCTGCTGCTGCTGCTGCTCACGGCCCGTACAGCCATGGCGTGTGGAAGCCCGCAGCAGGGCGGCGCCAAGGCCACTCAGCTGTCGCCCAGGGCCAGCGCCTTCTCCATCGCTGCGCTCATGGCCAGGAGTCCGGCGGGCAGCAGGGGCGGCCGCGACGCAGCCACGCGCGGCACCATCGCAGCCCACGGTGAGCCTGGGACACCCGTGGCGAGGTGTGGCGAGCGCGCCCCCACCGCAGAGGGTTCGCGAGAGCGTTCACCATCGACCCCAACGCGTTCATCATCGCCCCCAACGCGTTCACCATCGCCCCCAACGCGTTCATCATCGCCCCCAACGCGTTCACCATCGCCCCCAACGCGTTCACCATCGCCCCCAACGCGAGAGGGTTCACCATCGCCCCCAACGCGTTCACCATCGCCCCCAACGCGTTCACCATCGCTCCCAACGCGAGAGGGTTCACCATCGCCCCCAACGCGTTCACCATCGCTCCCAACGCGAGAGGGTTCATCATCGCTCCCAACGCGAGGGTTCACCATCGCTCCCAACGCGTTCACCATCGCCCCCAACGCGAGAGGGTTCACCATCCCTCCCAACGCGTTCACCATCGCCCCCAACGCGAGAGGGTTCACCATCGCCCCCAACGCGAGAGGGTTCACCATCGCCCCCAACGCGAGAGGGTTCACCATCGCCCCCAACGCGTTCACCATCGCCCCCAACGCGAGAGGGTTCACCATCGCCCTCAACGTGAGAGGGTTCACCATCGCCCCCAACGCGTTCACCATCGTTCGTCGACGATTGGACCAGCCGGTGGTGGTAGAAATCGCACCCATTTACTGTGCTGTGCAGGGATGGTCCAGATGTCTTGTGGCCACAAATTAATCGACCCCGAACTTTTGTTTTCCTTTACATATGCATTTCTGTTTAAAATGAAACTTACTTGATTTTTTTTAAGTTTTAGAAAATTAAATGTGGGGGGGGGGGGTGTCACAATACATCTGGACCACCCTGTACTGGGCGGCCAATGTTGGATTTGTCTTACAAGGCGGTTCTGTATTTTACCGACCAGCCGGGGGGTGATGGCCTTGAGTCGAACCCCGAGCTGGAGTTGAACTCGCGACCCTCAAAACGAAGCCACGTGGATTGCGGGCATTGACGATGAAAATGCGACAACCACGGACCATCAATGAAAATGTTCGCATATATATACACACACACATACAATATTATTACCTTCGGCTCATTGCGTCTTGTTCGTAAGATCAAAATCGCCGTCATAATTTTAGAGGCTCAACAGAGTCGTGTCCGGTTTAGCACTCGGACGAGAGACTTCTTGGACGAAACACCGCGCGCATCGGTTTAGTCTGCGACGATGGCAGGGGAGTGACGGGATCGTTGAATCCAGCTGTGCGGAGTTTCTTCGGTAGTCGTTACACCACCCCCAGGCCCTCGCAATGCGTGCGAGCCGTTGTTTTCGGCAGACACCTTCGGTAGTGACACATTTCGTTCCAAGAAATCGCTGCAGACGTCGCAGCGAGGCAGGGATCCCAGCCCTCCTCTCCCCTGCTGAACAAAGAGTCTCGTGATATAAGTAAACAACAACACCAACGTTAGATTCGGAACAAAATCCGAGTCATTTCAAACATTCGTTGTAGGTTGTTGTTGACGTTTTCTTTGACGGGTATAGCGCAGCGTTACATTGCTCTATGATACAATATATTTTTGTTATCCTTTTTAAGGCCAGTGTTATTTACGAATGTTGTTGTTGTTGATATGATGCTAAATACATATTTACAGTCGTGTGATGCCGTAGCAAAGCGCCTCGCTCACAGATTTAATTATGCAAGTTTAAATGCTTCAATCTTGATTTGAAGCTTTCGTAACTGCAGGAATCCATACTCTTTGGTTCTTTCGATAAAGCCACGTAGGTGACTTTTGTTTTATTTAAAATGCTTCGTCCAAGGGGCAGGCTCGACACTTCACGCCTTCCTTGGTCAATTGAGATGTGTGCAGCTTCGTGGGGGGAACCAACCCTACCTACGGTGTTTGCTCTGTGGATATACTTCTCCCGTCATAGCAACGTGTAGACTTCACGAGAGGCAATGGACGGAACAAACCACTGCCTCGCCACTTCACCCGACATTGACGTTCGCTCCGCGTGTAAAACAAAATAAAAATCAGAACGATTTTGCTTACATTGCGTAAAGCGAACATTTCCCCTTGACAAATACAGCACTTTGCAAAGCACACGGACTTAAACGCCAACGTATTTCGTTTCGATATATTGTACAGTCCTAAAGTATAATAATAATAAAACAATAGTTGTAAAACATTATGACAGATGAACTCGTGCAACCGTTCGATTATATTCGTGTCAGAACAATCATACTTTCACTGTGCGTAGTCGGCTGCACGTGTTCACTGTGTTCACTGTGTGTACAGTCGGCTCCACGTGTTCACTGTGTGTACAGTCGGCTCCACGTGTTCACTGTGTGTTCACTGTGCGTAGTCGGCTCCACGTGTTCACTGTGTGTACAGTCAGATCCACGTGTTCACTGTGTGTTCACTGTGCGTAGTCGGCTCCACGTGTTCACTGTGTACAGTCGGCTCCACGTGTTCACTGTGTGATCACTGTGCGTAGTCGGCTCCACGTGTTCACTGTGTGTACAGTCGGATCCACGTGTTCACTGTGTGTTCACCGTGTGTACAGTTAGCTCCACGTGTTCACTGTGTGTGTTCACCGTGTGTACAGTCGGCTCCACGTGTTCACTGTGTGTACAATCGGCTCCACGTGTTCACTGTGTGTACAATCGGCTCCACGTGTTCACTGTGTGTGTTCACCGTGTGTACAGTCGGCTCCACGTGTTCACTGTGTGTACAATCGGCTCCACGTGTTCACTGTGTACAATCGGCTCCACGTGTTCGATGTGTGTGTTCACTGTGTGTACAGTCGGCTCCACGTGTTCACCACTGTGTGTTCACCGTGTGTACAGCCGGCTCCACGTGTTCACTGCGTGGGTGCGTGTGGACATGTTCACCGCGCAGAGCGTTTGGGAGATGTGCATTCGCGAACCAGGTCGGTCGGGTGAATGAACGATTGTTTCTGGACTCGGAGTTAATCCGGATCGGGTCAGGTCGAGTTAAACCCTGAGGTCGGGGGTTGTCGATCTGGCTCGGATTAAATCGGCATTGGTCGGATCCGGACTGGAGTAGGTCTCGGTCTTTTCGAGGAAGCGTGGGATCGGATGGTTCTGGGTAGAGTTACGTATGGATCGCGGGTGAATAAGTCTTTGTCCGGGGTGAATCTGTACTGGTTCGAGTAGGTTCCAGGTCGGGTACAATCCTGGTCGGGTGATGTAAGATATAAAATATCTGTTTTAAACTAAACTGTGAAACAATTCGTTTTTTTTATATATGCCAGGTAAGGCCCACTGAGCTATGTAGCTCTTTTTCAGAAGCGACCTGGCCACAAATGATAGCTCAACAAAATGGCTCACCGTGTGGAAATTGATAGCAGTAGCCAAATACACTAAACGCACGTTTCTAAATATGGAAAAAAAACCCAGAAGTCCGGGATCAAAATCCCCAGCCGTTATCTTCTCCACACCACACCAGGGTCGGGATCGAAACCCACGAGCTCCTGCATACCTGGCGAGGGAGTTAACATCTCTCCACCGTAGCGCCCCTATCGTGCTGGGGACGTGTAGAATCGGGTAGTTGTGGAAGGTTCAGCGAGGCTGGCTCACCACGTGTAGAGGCACCAGCATGCTCGTCAGTACGGGGTTGGTGAGGATGTAAGGGGCGAATTGTTATTTGATAAGTTTTATTCACATGTATTTAATTTAAAGTGATTTGTTTGCCTGTCCTATATTCATAATCTTTGGGTCTTTCGGTAAAGTCGCGTAGATGGAAAAAATAAACAAGTCAAGATTTTACCTGTCCTATACTTTGCACTCATATCGTTTGTATTTGTATTTATTGCAACGTACTGACCCGCTCTGACTGGAACATCTGTGAAACATAACTTCATAGCTCATCGGATTCCGACAGTATAAATAAATATTCTGATTATGAAGTTAGCCCTGACCGGGAGTCGAACGCGGGTGGTTGGGTTCACTGCGTAGGGCACTTACCATTCCGAAAGTGCTCTAAACCCTTCGTATGCGTTGCACTTGGGACTATGAATAGCCAATATCGTTTGACCGTGTTATATATTTAACGAGGGGGTGGGTGACAGCAGCACGCCCGGCCGCCTTTGTCTCACCAGTGGCAATGTTCACACACCACAGCAGTTACTCGTTTGAGGTTGAGTCGACCTAGGGGAGGCCCAGAAGCGGTTGAAATAATCGTCACCGGTGGTGCCCGTGAGCGGGAATCGAACTCGGGTCGCCGGGTTCGTAGCGCGGCGCGCTAACCGCTACACTACAATGCGTTACGCTTCCACACACACAGACACACACACAGCCACACATACAGACACACATACAGACACACAGACACACACACAGACACACATATAGACACATACACAGACACACACACAGACACACACACAGCGCGCTAACCGCTACACTACAATGCGTTACGCTTCCACACACACACATACACAGCGTGCTAACCACTACAATGCGTTACGCTTCCACACACACAGCCACACACACACAGACACACACACAGACACACATACACAGCACGCTAACCACTACACTACAATGCGTTACGCTTCCACATGCGCGGGTCACGTGACAGTTGACGTCACAGCTCACTTGCCGTGCAAAAAATATGCATTATTGATCTCCCCCCACCCCAAAAAAAACCAAAAGTGTCTTTTTATAATTTTTGCATGGTGTACATTCTGGAAAGTACCCACATGGCAAATTTCCAGTTTGTTGCATGTCGGGAAGTACGCTAAACATTTTGAACAGACACATTCAGAACTTTGCCTTTTATATATATGGAGATGTGGCCCGGAATCACTGATGAGAACGTTAATTGTTGCTCACACACCTACCGCGGTACACGCTTTATACTTTTAAATAATTCATTCTTGCAAAAGTCATGAACAAGAGGTCAAAAGGTGTAAGCCAACAAGCGCATTGGTTCAAAGGAAATAAGAATGCGAATTTCGGGAAAAAAAGTTAAATATTGGCTTAATCGAGTTGCAAGCCTGTGGCAGAGACCGGGGCACAA